AAAAACACTATAGCGGTGTTATCAAAAAAAAAAAAAACACTATAGCGGTATAGCGGGTAGCGCCATAGCAGTAAAGACGCTACCGTGAAGTCTATATAAATACTTATAATAAATTATACCACATATATAAATGCTATAAGACAAGAAATCACACAAAATAGGAGAAAATGAGGAATGAAAAGTATAATACTACACATTCAAAACAAGGATTCAAGGAACATAAATGAAGCAACATACTAGTTCATTGAAAGTAACTAAATTAATAACATTCTAGGAACATATAGGATCTAAGTAGAGTCAAATACAAATTTTCAATGGCTCTTTTAAAGTCAAGAAGGAAAGGAACTAATTAGAATCATCATCAAATATTTCTTCAAAGTTTTCTTCTTCTCCACCCTCACTTTCTTCACTAGTATTAATTGTGTAGATATGTTCATCCTCATCTTCTATTTCTTGTTATCACCTTCTTCAATCTGTTCAACTCTTATTCCCCTAGAGCTTAATGGAATAGAGGTAGCTTCCTTCATGAATCTAATATGTTGCCTAGTGCAAGTTATAGGTTCATTAGCCCAAGTTACATTAGCAACATCTCCCTAAGTCAAGATATCATCATAAAAAACGAACTCATTTTCTGCATCTTTACCCACTTCTCCCATCAACCATTCATTACTTTCCTCAATGTCTTTTAGGACAATGGGATCAATCAAATCATGACTCTCAAAACGTTCTTTAAGAGCTTGACTATACTTAATAAAGACTAAGTCTTGCAACCTTTAATGCTCAAACCTGCTTCTCTTAGAATGAATCTAGTTTACAATTTTCAATAAAGAATATTAGTTTCACAATCATGATATGAAACTCTACAAACAAAAATAATTTAGCAATTACTTACATGCTCAAAATTACTCCAATTGCGCTCACATCCCAATGAGCTACAAGTTAAGCCCAACACTCTAACAACAAAGTTTTGCAAATTCGGAGCATGTGCTTTATACGATTTCCACCATTAAGCTGTAATGCAATTTGCAACAACTTGTTAACATTACAACTTGTTAAATAAAAGATTAAAGTGATCAAATAAGTGTGCTTTTACTTACCAGGAGCGATCTTATTCTTTTGTCTTATTGTTGTATTCATACCAAAAAGGCCTTCTGCACTACTATATTTTTCCAATTATCCATGTATCTTGTCCACCTATTCCTCATTTGCACTTAGTTTGTCAATGCATTTATATAGTCCAGCTATCAATTCAACATCATCATCAATCTTTGGATTGGCATAAAAGAATTCAGGGTTTAGATAATGGCCTACAACATGTAATGGATGATAAAGTTGACAATCTCATCTTCTATCAATTATAGCAAAAACATCCCTGTATTTATCTTCATTTCCATTAAAATATTTTTGAATTGCTTCATTGGCCCTATCTATTTCTTTATATATATATATATATCCCATTGTGACCTTCTTTTATTATCAACAAGTCTGAGCACCTGCACAAGAGGCCTCATAACCTTTAAAGAATGAATAACATAATTCCAAAATGATGGCATAAGTACAGTGTCAGTTGCCCTTTTTCCCTTAGGGTCTTTTGCTGTGTTTGATTTCAGCAAATCATCTGATGTGAACATCTTTCTAAGATTATTTTTTTGTTTATGAAGCCTTTGTAATGTGAGGAATGTTGTAGTAAATCTTATCACTCAATGCCTAACTAATTCACTCCATGCCAATGAGTGATTATAAATTAACCCAACAAGCTTGATGCCTTTTCTATTGCTTTTTTAACTGTCTCAATTTTTCCAATATCTTCAAACATCAAATCAAAACAATGTGCAGCACATGGAGTCCAAAACAAATGTTCTTTCTTGGCTTATAACAATTTGCCTAAGAACAAATTAAACAACCTAAAATGAGTAACAATTAAAATAAAAGTTAACAATTAAATAAGGTTAAATTAAACAAATTGTGTCTTGCCAGCCAATGCATAATTTCTTCTATTGTCGATAACCACTCGAACAACATTTTTCTCCCCGATCTCTTTAACAAAATTATCTAAAAGCTCAAATAATTTTGCTCCACTCTTGACATAAGAAGAAACATCAATGCTCTTCACAAACATAGACCCGGATGGAGAATTCATCAAGAAATTGATCAATGTCCTATTCTTTCTATCAGTCCATCCATCTGATAATGGAACATCCATTGTTGGCTCTTTGTACCCCCTCGATCTTTTAATAAATACTTGGTGTAATCTAATTCCTTTTTAAGCAGAGGAATTCTACACTCATAATAACTTGGGAGCTTTGGACTTGGAGCGTAATTCCCAATTGCTTCAACAATGTACTTGAAGCTTTTTGAACGTACAACATTGAAAGGTATTCCATTCGTACACAAAAATCTTTCAGTGTATTGAATAGTTCTAGCCCTTGCTTCTTTATCACAAGCATCATTTATGCTTGTTTGCCTATTTCCTTTGCCCACTTTAATGTTTTTTCTGGTTTCTTAAAAAACATTAAATCCAAGGGGCCTTTAACTCTCTTGGCAGTAGCAGTATTACTATTAGAGGCTTCATTTGAAGATGTCTCACTCTTTTTCCCATTTTTAATGTGTTGAATTTCTTGCACCTCTTCTAACATATCATCATCTTCATGTATATCAACACTATATGCATCCTTTTCAGTAAGCTTTGGAATATAAGCATCTTTCATAATCTTCTTAATTTTGGGTGGGATTTTTCTACAAGCACCCAAATCCCTCTTCGACCCAATATGGTGTCTTTTGGCTCTTGTGATGCCACCTGTTGTAACTTTTCCACAAAAATCACATGTTACATATCTCTTGTTATTGATATCTTTTAAATTATTCCACTGCCACGCCATATCAAGATTTTCACTGGTGGGTTCTACCAATCTGCAGGAAGCCACGAAAGCTAGGTTGTTTTGTTCTTGGATATTTTGTGATGCCATGACCAGAAAACAACAGGGGCTGCTATGCTTATGACAATCGCAAAACAGAGGGGAGAAAAAAAGAGGGCCTTCAATGAAGTTGCTATTTTCGACTTCAATCTTCAGGAAAAATAGAAGGTCTTCAATGGAGTGGTTGTTTCAAACTTTTAGATCTACAAAAGAAGGAGACAAGTTGCACACAAAGTCCAAGGAAAATATTCGGCAGAAAAACAGAACGTGTGCGCAACAATAGGGTCTGCGTGAGTCCTTTGTTTTCGACTTCAATATCCAGGAACTTCAATTGTTGGCGTACGTTGTGGGTTTTTTCATAGGGAGATTCAGATTTGAGAGGAGCAGCCGAAAAAAAGATGGAAAGAAGTTGTGTTCGTGAAATTAAGAAGAAAGAAGATGACATGAAAAAGAGAGGAAAAGAAGACAACGACTCTGATTGATTTCTGTTTTTCGAAACAGTTTTTAAGTTTTAAAAACAACAAAACAAAAAAAGTTGTTTGAAAAAAGTGTTTTCACCAAATTTGTTTTCAAAACAGCATCTGGTTTTTTGTTTTAAAAACTGAAAAAGGAAAACAACTAATAAATGTTTTCAAAAGTTGTTCTTTTGTTTTTTGAGTAAACATCCTTTTTGGTCCCTGACAATATCTACGAATTCTTTTTAGTCCCTGGCAATAGAAAAAGACCAAATTGGTCCCTAACAGTATGTAAAAAGGGCCACGTTAGTGACGGAGGAGTTGACATAAGGACTAATGTGACCCTTTTTTCATAATTTTAGGGACTAATTTGGTTCTTTTTTATTGCCAGGGACTAAAAAGGATTTCGTAGATATTGTCAGGAACCAAAAAGGGTGTTTACTCTTGTTTTTTTTTTGTGCGATGGCATTCCTGTAGTTATAGGGTTTCATTAATGGCATTTTCGTAATTAAATCGATTTTTATTTTTATTTTAAATTATTTTGCGATGACAATCTTCTAAATACGAGGATTCATTAATGACATTTATGTAAATAACTACAGCTTCTTTATAACTTCAAAAGTAACTATATTCAAACAAGTTTTATTATTATTTTTACTCTAAAATCAGTTTTCAAAATTTATCCTCAAATCAGTTTTTAAAAACAAAAAAATAAAAACACATTCAAACACACCCACATTTACCTCTTTTCTTTTCAGCAAACAAAAAAAGCAAATAAATATCGATTTTACCCGTCACTTATCCTGACTTTTCCCATGTTACCCTTAATGAGATCCAAATTTACAAAATGATTCCCCCAATCTCTAAAACTCCACCTCCCTTCCCTATAGCGGCACGATAACACCGCAAGAGCTTTCGTGTGCGACTGTCACTATCGAAAACTGTGGCGTCACGGTGCATAAATTGCAGCAAGTGCCGCAATCCGCATCTGAATCGCAATCTCAGGCGATAGCGCCACGATTGCAATTATAGAGCCTAAGTTTTTTTTTCTAAGAAAAACATGTATATATGCAAACTGACATCAATATCATGGTAAAATAGTATCATATAAAATTTCTAAATAAAAAATTAAATTTTCGATAATATGCATCTTTCTTATATTTTGCAATTGATCCATGATTCGCTAAAGCCAAATAATAGTCTGGCACATAAAAAATCAAAATAGGAACAACACAAAGATAATTAGTTATCACAATAATTAAAATATTTTTTTTTGGATACAACTTAAAAGCTAATTTAACAAATAGATTTCAATTTGTGTAATAGAACTTTCTCATCAAATTCTAACAACCTAAATGTTTTTTTTTTTTTTTTTTTTGGTGAGGAACATCCTAAATGTTAATGGTACACAATTAAAAATAAATAAATAACTATAGCAAACTTGGCCCTCTATCTAGTGCAATTAATTTGCAAACACTAACAATTACTGAAGCACCGTTAAAGAGAAAAGAAACATAAAAAACTTTCATATATGAATTGATATCACTTCTTTTAACTGATAGGCAAAATTGAAGTTAAATTTTTTAGAGGACCAAATCAATCTTACTTTTTATTGCTTAAAGACTAAATTGATAATTTTATTTTGTGGAAACAAAATATTTCCCGAAAAAACAGGAACGAGGGTATTACTTATTCTTCATATGCCGCCTGCAAATATCAGCTAAAGGTCGCCCCGTGACATACAATTTGTTTGGACAAAAAAAAATATAGCCTCATTACAATAAATAATATAACAAAAATCAAATTAAAGGGTTAAAAAGCCCATTTTTTTAAATGATCTTCAAGTTGTTGAGGAGACAAAGGATATGTTAAGGTGTGGCTGGAGGCAGACTCAGAATGCTGATAAGTTGAAGATTGGTGGTGTTAGTAATTGTCATTCGTGTGGTGAATAAGATCAGAGCTCTTATGCATAACGTTAGCTGGTGTGCTCCTCGCTTGAAAAGTATCATGCAGCAATAATCAGCAGAAACGCCTTCAATCTTCGTGAGTTTACAGAATGCTTCTGGGACTATTATCATGAGTTCAAGTAATCGTTCTAGTTCCCTGCTCAGGTTCCCAGACCACCAATCACTTTGAGAAAGCAACCTCATTTATGTACCACAAAGTCAAAGGCAATTTTTGCAGATAAAATACCCTGCTGGGCTAGCACTTGCGCCTATCTATCTTTGCATCGTGGGGTTTCACATGGAGGAGGAGGTACACCAAAGACCCAATCAAGAACATTCAAATATTTGGATCTAAAAACTTCCCTCTCCTGTGCATAGCAGTGCATTATGATGGCTGTTGACAAGCTGAAAACCACTACGTCAGCTCTCTTGATCGTTCTTGACTGTGGGAGATATCCTGCATCAGCCATGCATGTGAAGAAACTCTCAATAGCACGGGCAAAGCAGTATAAGGATATCTCCATTCGCCTACTTTTCTTCTCAATAGCCAATCCAAGGCCAGTTGGGAACTGCAAGAGAATGCATAGTTCAACTTTCATAACAATTTTTAATGCAATTAAAATAATATATTATTTCCATTAGTGTAATTCCAGCAAGAGTTTTCTGAAAAATAATACAAATTGAAATACCCCAATCAAAAAGATAAAAATATATGGATACAGTTAGCAACTAACCGTTCCCATGGCCACCATTGGAACGTTACATCTTTTGAAGATCCTGAACAGGAAGCAAGTCCACATCCTGATGAAGAATAGAGATATCCACACCATACATGTCATTTTCAAGTTTCAACAAAATTCATGTTGTCAAAGTAACAATGAGGTGAAGCAAAGAAGAAAAATAAAAAGAAAAGGCTAGTAAATACATAGATAAAATTAATTGAACATAAGAAAGAAGGCAAGTACTTTAAACGGTGTGTTCTCATTTCCTATATCAACATAACCATTAAAATTTAAACTGGGGTATAGCAATACTAGAAGAAGAGAGGTTATAGTTACTACCTCTTTTTCTTATTACTTCTTACTACCAAATCTTAACCGTTGATTTCCGTCAATCTAACGGTTGTAATTTATTGGGTCATACTTATTAATTAATTATTAATTTTCAATAAATTATAACCGTTAGATTGACAGAGATTAATGGTTAAGATATGGTAGTAAGTGGTAGTAAAAAAAAAAATAGTAACTATAACCTCTCACAGAAAAAAAAAATCTTTTGAATCAAAAACAAAGAACAAATTGTAACATTAATTGTATACCACTATCTCTTTAACCATTACATATTGGGAAGACAATAAAACTGCTGCTATTTTAATTATTAGAATAATTGCATACGTATTCATTTATTTATTCTAGTAATTGTTGCATTTAAATTTAATGTGAATTTGCAAACTGAAAATATTGTTTTAGCGTATTGACCCTCATATGCCAAATGGACAGCATGTTGTTTCAACTTCAAACATAGTTGGAAATATTGAACAACTCAAAAACTAACAGATTTAGCTGTAAGACAACCAGTAACAAAATAATAATGCCCGAACAAGTTCAAAGATTCTAACCAGGCAGATGCGCAATAAGCAGACAGAAACAAGCTTGATCTTGCAGTGCCAACAAGACCCTTGGCCAAGATCGTGTAGGGCCTGCATATAAGCATCTTCATAATGGGCAATAAGAGCAAAACAATATAATCTCATATTGAAAATGTCATAACTATACACCACAAAGAATGATCTTCATATTGTGCTAATTTTGAGTGCGCTTGGGAAATATCAGATGGAATAATTTATTGTCCAGCAAAGTCCTTTGCATGACAAAATCAGAGTATGTGCAGTATAATGTACTCAGTTTGAAAAACCACCATTAAAATAACACTTTAATAAAAAATTTCACAGAAACTAAACCCTGATAGAACATAATTTCATAAAAGTCTCACAAACTATCAGGTGAACAGTAAATTGGTTGTTATGTATTCCAATTAGGATCACCTTTTTAAAAGCCCATTTCTATGAACTATTAGTGCAGGTATCAGATAAACTGGAAGATAAACAGGTAATGCTCTTTTGTAGGCTTGAAGGAGAAAAGAAAGGGCATGTCCACCACATGATTGATTCCCATGTACAATCTGCAAAATATCAGTGATTGTAAACACTGAAAGAAGCCACAAAAATCACAATTTTTCTATCATGGGTTAAAAATCAGATATTGAACAGATCTAGATAAATGTATCAAACAGAAATTACTGATTACCCAGTTCAATAAAAAGTATCAGGACATAATGGCAAAGTTGAACACGACCCATGAAAGAAAAAATAATGAGAAATGCAATACCATGAATATAATTAAGCTTGAATTTCAACCAAAGTCCAGACATTTGTTAAATGCAGTTTACATGTACTCCCAAATCAAATATGAATTAGCATACATCATAATAGACACATTTCCCAATATTCAATCATAATGAAGAAATCGATGCTATCAAATTCAGCTTCCAAATTTCATACTGAACACGTAGTTCAATAACTATGTTTTATTTATTTCCCATGGATTAATAACACACTGAGAATGAAAGAGAAGGAAAGTAATCACAAAATCCTTATTTCATACCGAGCATGGGACTTTCATATTTGGATTTAATTTCACATTGACGCCCATGGTCCTGTAGTATTTCTCTATTGCATCCAAATTTGTAAAAGGCTTGCCACTGGCTATATCTTTTACACCTTGTAAGATAACTGGGTCCTTTCCACCATGTTTATTGAGAAAGGATTTATATGAAGCTGGCAAACTCTCTTGCTTTAATATATAAGCAGACCTGAAACCAATATATTCTCTATTATCACTAATCTTTCTTTGAAAAATAATTCTTTTGATCATTATTAAATGGGAAAAAGTGGGGTAGGGAGAGAGGGACATATAGTGTGTGACAGTCTTGGAAACATTGCCCAAAAGAGAAACTATGGGTGCACTTGCATGGACACAATCATGGCTGTAAAATGAGAGTTATATTTTCATTTGCATGAATATAAGTGGTATCCAAAGCTTTCTTACTATCAAAATTAATGCAACATTTGTCACAAGGTAAATAAAAAGGGCTATCAAGAAGAATTTTGAGATGGGCAACAGGTTTCTTAGTATTTGTTCTTTTCTGATTCTTATTACCTTCCCATTTACCTGGCAGCTTTTTAGTTACCATACTGCTATAGGATGACATCATATTATGTTGTTTGTCACAAGCATTGAGCAAATACATATATTCAATTATAATACAGCTCAACAATGCAGAGTCCTGCAGCTTCAATCAATCTTAGCATGGATAAAAACTAGTAAATGGTGAATAACCAGCCCAAAATCAATAACTGATCAAATCAAAGTCTACTGTTAAAGGCCCACTGAGTGAACTAGTTCAACCACTCAAATTATATGAAGTATTTAATCAGACAGAAGCTGAATTTTCTGGAGTGTAAATATCAGCATTCTCATATGAAGAATGCATCAAGCTTGGAAGGTATCTATATGAAATACAGGCATGTTTATCAGTCAACTGAACACAACAATAAATTGTGAAGCCATCAAGTGAAACACAAAGACTATTTTTCAAAAATTACAAGGCTTTGCCATAAAAATTTGAAAGGGACAAGCATGCTAACAAAGTAATAATAGATCATTTTTATCAGTAAAAATAAATAAATAATAGAAAGGGTACATAACATGATTACATACAATATTTGGGAAGAGGAGAGACACATAAGCAAAATGTCACCGTGCTTCCATGTGAGAGGCTTACAAATTCTCCCAAACCGTTTGCTCTTAATCCCACAACGAGATGCCAAGACAGCAGCACGCATGAGAATGTAAATGGCCAAGCTCGTGTGCTGTGTCTCTAACCCTGTTAGAAGCATCGATGACCCAGCAACCGCGCCTGCCAATAGAGCCCTCCATCTCGCTGTCCTGAACCACAACACAAAACCAATCACAATCACTCCCACTCCACAAACCCAAGAAAAACAAAAACAACAGCAACACTGAAGAGCAAGGCCAAACAAATAAAATCCTACGGCTCAAACCTCAGCAATTTGACTCCTCAAAATTACCAAACGGTACATGCAAACGGGTTGATTTACACTTCTTTGCACCATTTAGTACAAGGATTCGAGCGGTTGAGTTTTGAATCACATCCACAATTTGGCCTATAATTATATAGATTTACGCGCATTTTTGAAAGAGAAAAAAATAAATAAATAAATATTCCAAAAATGCAAGAGAAAAAGAGAACATGCCTTCGGTGACCTCCGAAAGCACCTATAAGCTCGTCCATCGACACAAACGTTCCAGCGAAGGTGCCAAGAAATAGACCATATCTCAGAGTCTCCTTCAGAGAAGCAACAATCGCTTCGCCGTTCGTCACCACAACCTTCTTCCTAAGCAAAAAAAAAAATCGAGGAACGAACGAACGAATGAACGAACAAACGAATGACATCAACTATCACAAACATGAATAAAACTTGCTAAGCCATTTTTTGATTTTCGTTTTCACCTTGGCGGTTTTTTCCGCGTGAATCGCGCCAAGATCGCGAAGAGAGCGAGACCGCCCTTGAGGCCAGCTCCGATCGAGAAACCCTTCGCCGAAGCAACGAGGATTCTCCGAAGCTTCGCCAGTTCCTTCGGCGGAATCGCGTCGACGATGCTGCTGCGCAGTGAACAGGCGCTTGACGACGCGGCGGAAGGAACAGACCTTTCGGTGGAAGTGTCGTCGGCGCCATTGCGGAAACCGTTGATCTCCTCCGGATATTTCTGGCGGCTTCCGCCGTATTCGGCGGCGGATGGCGACATGGCGGCGGGGAAAGTGGAGTGGAAGAAGAGAGCTTGGGGGGAATATTTCAAAGAGAAAAAAGCCAATAAAGATGACAGAACAGTTTAGAAGTTGCGTTTCATGGAGGCTCGCATAACGATAACAGTGCGACACGTGTGTGGTTCCCGAAGCTAACCATCACACGCCTAAGGTTTTTCGGTTTTTTCTTCTTCTTTCTGTTAATAATTTAAAGGGATATGTTATATGGATAAAATATTTTTTCAATTAACTGAGATAATTTATTTTCGGTGAGTTCAAAATATGTTATTTTGGGTAAAAATTAAGGTGTTTTTATAACCATAATATATTACAGGATTATATTAGTCTTTATTAGTATAATTTTTTAATCTTATAACTTCAAAACGATGTCGTTTTAAAGTATTTTGGTGATCGGAAAATATTTTTTTTAGTAACTCTTATGGCAAATTTTTTTTTTATTTAATTAAAATTAAATTAATGCCGTATCTAATTTGTTTTAAATCAATTGTTATAAAATATTAATTTATTGATTACTTGATTTTAAATTTTTTAATTGGTAATACTAATAATACAATTATCTTCATTTATGATTTTATAATCACCTCAGTGACGGAGCATTAACTCCATAATACTATATATTATTGGTGAATTAGAATCAAAGTTCGACTCTACAACTCTTAATTTTTTTTCCTTCTTTTTGTTTTATCTTTTTTCTTTCACTTTATCTTGTGTCTTGTAACACACATTTTTCTCTCGTGTCTATGCCTTCATTTCATGCCTTCATTTCATAACGCTTCCCATATTTTAAACTAGGGGAATGTTATAATTATTAGGGAAATACTTATATTTGTAACATGATAGAAAATTAATTTCTTACACAAACAAACTTTGGTGGGACCCATTGTGAAAAAAAAAACAAAAAACAAAAAAAATGATAGCACAATAATCAATGGGTCAATAGAAATATAAAAAAAAAAAAATCACTTTTCCTATCCTATTACATGATAGATGTATTGCCCTAATTATTATTAAGTAAGTTTACTCTCTTTTATTATTATTTTTTTATGACCTTTAGCTATTGCAACAAAATAAGTTTACTTAATTTCTCTTTTCAATCACTTCCTCAATTCTCTTTCTTCTTTTTCTCCTTCAATAATATTCTACTTGCCGGTAGCTGACAATTATAAAAAAAGTTTTTTTTAACTTTAATTTAAAATTAGCTTTTAGCTTAAAAAAATTATCAAACAGACTCTTGTTACTAGAGCTTAATCTATGCAAGTTGCAAGTTATTTAAAATAGTCTACCGGCTTATATTTCTTTTATTTCTTTATATAATTAAAATTAATAATGATAATTTTGGATAAATTATTTGATTAACTTAAATTAAAATACTCAAAATTAATTAATATTTAAAATCCAAGAACATTTGATTTAAAATAATACTTAAATAAAATTTAGAAAAAAAACCTTGACAATTTTAATATTTGATTTTAACATCTTTTGAATTTATAGACCGGCATGGGCGTACCGCGTGTGGCTTGTTGCAAGACAGCATCAAATCAAATCGGACTAGGACAGGTGGGGTCAAAATGTTTTTTTATTTTATTTTAATTTTATTAAACCAACCCAATCAATTTTTGTTACACGAGGAAGGTTATACTTAGAATCTATTTTTATTTACAAAAATTCTCACAATCATATATTAACCATTGATTTTTGTCAATAAATAATTATTATTTAGTGTGAATTAATAATTAATTAATGAATTTGATTTGTGAAAATAATAATCGTTGATTGATGATAATCAACGATTAAGATATGATTGTAAAAAAATATAAACAAAAATAAATTGTAAGTATAGTCTTCATCGTCTATTTTTATCCAACGTTTATTTTTAGATAATTATAATGTAATGCAAAAGATGGATGCAATTTTTCACGCACTAATTAAAAAAAATTGTGGTCCTTTTGAATTTAGTTGATACTGGAGGTTTATTTGCTTTTTACCACATTAAATTATTAAAAATCAAACAAATTCCTCTTTGCTAGCTTTTCTTATCTATATCAAGCTATAAATTAAATCTTAAAATATTTTAGGTCCCTATTTTCTCCTTTCATATAAAAAATCTCATCTGCAGCAATCGATTTTTCAACAAAGTCTGTTAGTAAGATTTTTAAATTATTTTTCTCTCTTTGTGACATCAGTGGACAATGTTGAAGAGAAAGAAAAAACAAAGTAGCTTTATTAGTATAAGAAAGTCTTACTAGTAGATAGCCAAATTGAGGCGGAGCCAGTATTTATTTTTCTTAATTTTAATTAGTTCATATCATAATATATTTAAATTATATTAAATATATAACATCTAAGCAAACAGCACTAAGAGGAGTTATAATTTTATTAAATATTTTTTAATTTTACTAAAAATAATTTTTTTTATACAAGTAAAAATCAGACACATAACTTAATACAACTTACTCAAATCTTTCATCAAAAATATTTTAAATTTTACATAGGGCCAAATTACAATTTTAATTTGGGTCAAATTATAATTAATTATATAGTTATATATAATAAGTACAATTTATTAGAATTTAGCCTGAGCCGAGCCCCACCCACACTATATGTGGCTCCGCCACTGCTAGTAGACTTTGTTAAAAATCAATTGCTGGAAAAAAATTTCTTATGTGAAAAAAGAAATACATTTGCCAATATTTAATATATATTTAGATGAAAATATGATTTTTAACTATTAGAAAATAATATAAATCATTAAAAAATATTTTCACCTACCAATTTAAGCTTTTGGATTAAAAATATTTTCACATACCTCATGTCCCATATTCAATCATGATTGTCTCCACTTTCTTTGTGAAATTTCTTCGTACAAGTAGGTGGATTTATGCATTGTTCACCTTCACTTTTTCTTATAAAATTTCTTAGCACAGGTAAATAGACTTATACTTTATCCATCCTTCATACCTGGTAGCTCCTATATAAAGAGGCATGCTAGAAAGTAATATAAACCATTAAAAAAACCTCTCACCAACCAGTTTAAACTTTTGATTCTTTACATTAACATTTGGCAAATTGTTTTTTATTTTAAAAAAGTCGTTTTAGTCTCGCAACTCTAATGCTTTTACTGGTTCCAGACTTGGCACTCCATCCAAATCTAAATAAATAACTTCCATCTCTCGTGTATTTGCAATGAGCATAAAATGTTTTTTTTTAATTCATTGATATGTCTATTTTCGATTTGGATCTTCTCTTATGATAAAGTAAAAAAGAGAAATATTAATTACACATTTTTCGACATGCTCTTTCTAATACATTCTTTATCATAGGATGACTTTTATACAAGTCTTATTAAATAGAGATTGGACCTGTGTTATTTAATAGGATCCATATGAAATTTGCCTAGCCCCATGCCTATATTACACCGATACCGACACAGGATACGAGACACAACACGATATAGGGTCCGTTTGGATGAATTTTTTTCTTCAAAAGTTGTTTTTTTTCTTGAAAAAAAGCACTTCTCATTTTTAGTTCATTTGGATGTCTACTTTTAAAAAAAAACAAAAGTCACAAAAAAAGCCAAAAACTTACTTTTTTCAGAAGCTAAAAATTTTAACTTCTACAAAAAGCAGAAGTCAAAAGCCAAATATTTTTTTCAAAAACTAAATATTTTTATAAAAATATAAATAGCTTTAACTTTTGTAAAAAACACTTTTAAAATAAGGAAGAGATAAAAGTCACTTTTTTAAAAAGGTGAAACAAACAGGCACATAATCTACTGATATATTAATTTTAAAAATATCAGATTTTGATATGTTAGAATACATTTTGATATTAAATAATATTTTTAATATATATAATTTACATTTAATACATATAATAACTCATAATAAGTCATATAATCAATCAAATATTCAAATTCCATAACATAAATATAAAGATAAAATAATTTTTCATGTTTTTTAAATTTTTAGGTCAAATTTCATTACAGAAAATATTTGATTTATAAATTAAATTTATGTTTAGTTAAAAGGATAAAAATAAAATAAATTTGGACATAAAAAAAAGTATCAAAAAAAGTTGACCGATGTCGAAAGCATGTTGAAAAACATTGACTGCATATTGAAAACGTATCGAAGCGTTGCCCACGTATCAAAAAAATAAATTCCGTGTCACTGTTTGACACATAATTTTTTCTCCGTAAAACATGTCCGTGCATCAAGACCCATGCCATGCACAATAATATATTACAATGAGTGTAAAAAATATTTTAATATTTTCTAATGAAAAATATGTCATTCCGGAACTACTTCATGTTATTATTATTATTATTTATTTTTTTGGAGATAGGAACTGCTTCATGTTATTAAAGAATAAGAAAACATACAAATTTCCTTGAACTTTCAATGTATACCTAAATCTTCATCTACTCTAACCACTTTATTCAAACCTGTTCCTTATTAAATGCATTCTGTTAACTAAAACAACGGTTGCCATTCTTATTTAAGAATAAATATTTGATATTACTATTGTACCTAAATTTAGTATATCCTATCAATTAGAGCATTACACATGAGAGGAAAGAGAAAAAATTTAGCAGAAAAAAAAGTAAATTTTGGCTGATATGTTATGTTTTTATTGGTGGAATGCACTGAATATTTAGTGCAACAGTAATATCAAAAATTTATTCCTTATTTAATACACCTAAGATTGAAATACTACAAACTCGGAATAATAAATATAGTGAGTGACACTAGCCAGAGCGAACCCACCTTAGTTCTTTTTTTTTTTTTTTTTTTTTTTTGAGGTTATTCTGTTCCTAAGGACGGTGGACAACTTTTTCTTTTCGGAAACCCCAAAAATCACACGAGATGATTCTATGTTGGGAAATTTTCTTTTGCGTTTGTTTCTTCCTCGAAGATAATTCGAACCATTAGATTACCTACCACAACAATCAACGGATAAAAAGGCTACTGGAGAATCTTCCGGGAGTACGCAGGATTTTCTCCCAGTTTGGGTGTAATCAAGGTAACTCTGTCGGTCTGTCTTGTAGAATAAACAAGCATGTCCGGGATAAAAAGGTCAACGTAGGAAAAAAATTAAGTTGTTATTTTGACTTCTTCTTTTTAGATAGATTGCTATTTTGACTTATTTATACTTTTCATCTGTTTATCTTCTAATGATTTTTTTAACAATTAAAATTCACTAGAAAGAACAATCCCTAACTCAAAATTTGAGCAATGAACCTTTTAAAAGACATGAAAATACGTCAAATAAAAAGTATTATATTGAAAAGTGATTTATATAAAATATAAAATTATAAAACCAACTCAATGATGATAGCTCAATTAGGTGTAATGGAGCTAAGTGGGTGGCGAAAGATCTCAGTTCGATTCCCACCAATGTCATCTTGGGGGAAGGAGGCATAAGATCTTAATCCTTGACTCGTATCGTACTCAGAATTAGTCTCATAGCCGATTCAAAGAGTCAAAGCTTGTGGACAAACTTGGGGGAGCCTACTTACCTCAAAGAGGTAATTAGGATTGATATAAAAAAATAAAATGATAAAACCAAAAAATACTATCATTAGTGATGGATATGAAGATTAAAGAATCAATCCCAACAATAAGATAAGGCCTCGTAACAGACTAAGTAGAGGCTAAACCAGGTAACTCACTATAAATATGAGTCATACCTATCAGGTACACATTTTTGGCTCATCTTTACTTCTATCATCATTGTGCACACACATCACGCCTTGGCTAACGTCATATCATTCAGTGCACAATGATCCATACATCTTTCCAGTATCTCTCTCATAGATACCTGTGAGTGTACAGATCCTACATTGAGCCATCACCCAACGGGTGAACATTTTACGGTCTACCTGGATCAAACATTGGAGCTGTCTGTGGAAAATCGGTAAATTTTGGTTCTCATTCTGCAATTGTACATACGTGCAGAGCAGCGAATAACTTTCTACCATCGTCGCTGCCGCCCCTCATTGATGACCAAGGCGGCCAACAACTAGTTTTAGAAGAAGTATATGTCAGCGACGCTGAATCAGACTTAGCATCAGCTAGAAATAGGGGTAACCCGGTTGTGAACCAGTTGTGCCCACCCCAACAACAAGCCGACACAGATAATCAAATTGCTCAAACTACCCTCAACGCTATCATGTAGAGGATGCAAGAGATGAAAAATAAATATGAACTAATATTTCTTATGAATATATATGAAATTGAGTGGGATCTATGAGGAAAACAAATATATGTTCAGAAGAGACAAAATTATCTATGATAAGATAACATTTCAAATTTTTTATTTATAAATTTTTATACCTTATATACCAAATTTATTCCTTGTTTAATCAAGTTAATTTTGACTTGATCATCACTCAAGCTAAAGTATTTTGAAGGGTTAAACAAGAACTAACTTTCCCATCAAATATCATAAGCTACTAACACCTAGAAAACGCAATAAGGATGATCGTTTAATTGTGTCAAACCTTCCTCTAGCACATTTGTTTTGGGGGTTTAAAGGTGAATACAAGAGTTCGATTTTGAAAGATTTGCTTGATGATAATTGATGGTGATGAAATTTTGACATTAGAATTAAGTATTTAGTAGACTATAGTTAATAGTATTAGTAACAATTTGAAAGTACTTGATAAGCCGAAATTATGTTATTTTTAATTTGGCTATGTTTTAGTACTTGCTATCAAATCTTGATGGTACTATTTATGAAATTGTTGTCAACGAGCCTTATATTTGATATTATGCCTATCAATTTTTAAATTTAATATATAGTATTCATGAGCGCTTTTTTTTAAATATTGAAGATTTTTATTTTTACAAATTGGACATACCGATCGATATTTGAAAGAATTATATAAATTCTTTATTAAGGGTATTTTTGTCAAAAATATTCATTTTTATCCTATCTAGTATTATGCAGTGCATTACCAAATATTAGATAATATTAAAATTTAATCAAGTCTTATACGGTCAGGCCTTATACTATCATATCTTATACTATAAGACCTTATCTTATCCTGTACATCAAACATGCCCTAAATCACTTCATTCCATTCTAAGAAGCCCTCAAATAATGAATTGAGTTGCTTTTAACATTTTGATTTATTATTAACCACTTCATCCTCTCCGTTCAAACATAGTCGAATGAAATATATGAACAAAAAATAATTTTTCAGTTATAATTAAAAAAAAAGGAATGAGAATTGAGCTACAACTCGACAAAAAAGTATTATAGAAATTCAGAACTATGTACCCAAAAGAACATTCAAAACAAAATATTTCTTTCATTTAACATTTCCTTAAAAGTAGGTATTATTAATAAATAACTACTCATATATATATATATATATATATATATATATATATATATATATATATATATATATATATATATATATATATATATATACACCCTGACTTTTTCTCTCCTCTCTCTTCTCTCTTCTCAATTGTGTGTGTAAGAATATTCCTAGACACACAATTAAGAAGAGAGAGAGGAGATAGGAGAGAAAAGAGAAAAAAGTCAGGGGATGAGGCTCACATACAATTTTGTGTATAAGAATATCATGTTACATCATGTAACATGATATTTGATTTACCTATATATATATATATATATATATATATATATATATATATATATATATATATAAAGGTTCAAAGAGAAACAACATTACAACATATTATGGAAAATGTCCGTAGTAAACTTGGCGGCTGGCAGCAAAGATGTCTATCTCTGGAGGGGGAGTAGCTTTGGTGAGTTCGATTTTGTCTTCCACCCCCATTTCCATATACAGTATGCGAGATTGCCATAAGGAGTATGCAATGAGCTAGTCCGAATCCAACAAAACTTTATCTGGGGGATACTCATCAAAATAGGTCATACCACGTGGTGGGCTGGGATATCCTGACTAGCTTGAAGGAGATGGGTGGTCTTGGCCTGAGGAAAACAACTTTGATAAATGATGCTTTTCTAATAAAATGTGTTTGGTGCTTTCAAAATGAAGTTAATTCGCTTTGGTCCCGTGTGCTGCGTGGCAAATACAAGGTGTAGGTTGATCAAGTGCCAATCCCTAAGGCTGGATGCTCTCCTTTCTGGAAGGCAATCTCCAATATCATGCTTAATATGCAAGATAACATAGTTTGGAAAATCGAAGACGGGGTGACAATCTCCTTTTGGAAGGACAAGTGGGTCGACTCTTCTATATGCCTTTGAGATCATGTTTGAAGCAGTGTACCCGAAGATTTGAGGGACTTGTTGCGAATACGGCAAGTATACCGATTATATAAGTAATAAAGTAAATGAGTAGAGTATCGTTTCCACGAGGACTAATTACAAGCAATAGTTTCACCATTTTTATCTAAGTTAGACAATTCAAAAGGTGATTTCACAAGTAACCAATATTTAATTAAAAATTAAATATAGATGATAGTAAAAGAAATTAATTAAAAAGATGAACTTGAAATTATGAATAAAAATATAGTTAGGTTTACTTCACCTTCGATCCCCCTTAATTGGTTTAATTACAATTCAATAATATTCTATCTAAATTATTTCAAACAATTCATCATCTAAAAATTAATTTGTTAAATCTTAATGTCTTAGTTCTTTACCCTTTAACCCAATTAGAATCCTAATGTCTTAGAAATCCCATTTAGATTAAGATTTAAGCGCAATGAATTATAAAATTTTGCAATTCCTACAAGCCTATGACTAGATCATGCAAGAATTGGTGTTCTACCATTGTCTAGATAAAGATCGCAATATGTCTATTGTGAACCCTAACTTTCTATATCCCTATATAATTGGCCAGATCATAAAAGAATTTAAACATGCAAATCAAGATAAACACAAATAATTTGAGACAGTTTATTAATGAAAAGAATTAAACCAAAATAAGGATTCACGTCGGATCCATATTCCTAACTACAAAAGAAACTTAGTCAGATATAACTGGCTTAAAAAAATAAAGAAAGAAAAAGATATAGAAGATGTCATGAAGAAGAAGAAGAAGAATCAATGTTGCTCAATCACCTTCAAGCTTTTCTATATGAAAATCTCCATTTTTGCTCTTGCCTTCTTCTCTCTCTGTTGCAGAATATGCCACCCTCCTTTCTGTTTCCAAGAGTTTCCTTTTTATAGTGATGAAACTATATCTTTTAATTTCTCATAGTGTCTTCAATGAAATCTTCACTAGAATCTCCAATCATATCTTTAATCAAATCCTTAAAATCTTTCCTTTTATATTTAAAGGAAAACTTCCTTAAAAATATTCAATAAGATCTTCAATGAATTATATGATTCAGAAATCCAAAGCAAATCAACTTGAGCTCTCCAATTTATCTCTTCATTGAGCTAAAAATTGTTGTAAAATATAATAATTTTATGAGAATATTAATAAGAATAAAATAACAATTTAATTACAAATATCATATCTTTTAATTATTTTTAAATCAGTTTCATACTCATATTAACCCTTAATATATAATAAATTGGAGACTCATCAAACAATTCTCAGATTTAGACATTGATGTCCTCAACAGTAAACTACAATAAACAATATGAAGTAGTAAAGCAACTTTGTGAAAGGAAACACATAAAATTCAAGCATAATATTGCATTAAACAAATAATTGGGAATAATTACTCAAGAGAATACTATGCTAAACATGAATGACTTCCAGTGTTGAGAACTTCAAATAATATTTTCTAGTTTTCAATAGGAATAGAATCTATAATAGTCCTCACTAGTAGTGTTGGATTAAATATTGAAGAATAATTAGAAGTAAAAGAAATAAATTCACCTTTGGTGAAAAAGGAGTTAAAATGATAGTTAAAGGATAAAAATGCGGGTAAACAAAGTTACCCAAAAAATGAAAGTAAAGTTAAAAATATGATTAGAAAAATATTCTAGTCCATTGGGTAAAGTTTGGTAATGACTGGAGGTGTGTAGTTAGATAAACCTTTACCCAGTTGAATTTAACTTGACCTATATAAGTGAAATTTCTAAAAAACTTACGATTCATTCTTATTTCTCCTCGCGGACGACAGTGGCGGAGAGAAGGAAAATGGAAGTTTGAAATCAAATCTTCCAAGGATCATAATTTGAGCTAGAGACCTCCAAATCACTATGTTCCAAAGCCAAACTTGTGATGAATTTCGAAAGGAATCCATTGATACCAGTATTTCTGGGTGGGTTTCACTGTAGAGAGAGATCTTCCTCATCTAAGATTTCGAATTTCATGGATAATGGAGATTTTGATAGAGCTTGAAGCCATGGGAGCTTGAAGTAAGCCTTCTCCTTCATTCTAGGTAAGTTTATGTTGAGAAATCCTGGTTTTCTTTGAGTTTTGAGGAAGATTGAATTTAATTTTTCATTTTGAAAGTTTGGTTTGATTGAGCATGTTAGAGCTTGATTGAGGCTTGGCTCATGTTGAGAAAAGTGTTCAAATGAAGATTTTAACGGTGAAAATGTATTTGGAAAAATTGAGATACCGTATTTTTGAATAGTGACGTATATGAATAGTACCGTATACGTGAATAGTGACGTATACATGAATAGTACCATAGAGATGAACAGTACCGTATGTATGAATAGTTAAGAAATATTTGATAAGTAAAAGATTAGATCAATAAATGGTGTGTCTGGTTAACTACTTGGCTTTGAACCATTTTATTGATATTTGTATGGATTCCCTATTCTAGGTGCGCCTAAGAGTCTTGTTGAGGATCCTACATCAGAGGAGGCTTGGTAACTCGGTTGTTGGGTAGGCCATCTATACAGCTTTGAGAGGTAAGCTCTATGTTTATGGGGTTCGCTCCTACTTTGTGTTCCGCCATAGTGTACGGACTGTGGTCAGGTTGCATGATATGTATGAGACATATGATATAGATGCATTCATATAGAGCTATATGATGATGTGATATGATATGTTCTGATGTGTTTAATTTGATATGTTTTGATGTGTTTACTTTGATATCTTTTGATGTGTTTACTTTGATATGTTTCGATATGAAGTCTGTAATGATTTCTGGACATTGATTTGTTTATGCACTGATGTCCGCTTGGGGTCCTCCCTTGGGACTGACTGTGTATATATCTGTTATATGTTGAGTTCCGCTTGGGGTCCTCCCTTGGGAACATGTGCACTGATTTCCGCTTGGGGTCCTCCCTTGGGATTGATTGTGTACACTATGTTATGTGATGATCTTTGGCCATTGATCCTATGTGCACTGAAGTCTGCTTGGGGTCATCCCTCAGGACTGATAGTGTACATCTCTGATATGTTTTTGGTTCCGCTTAGGGTCCTCCCTTGGGAACATGTACGTTGATTTCTGCTTGGGTCATCCCTTGGGAATGACTACGTACATCTCTGATATGATATGCTTTGTTCTGATGTGATTATTGTGATGATTTTTGTATATGATATTTGTTACGTGCGTTGATTTCCGCTTGGGGTCATCCCTTGGGAATGACTGCGTACGTCTCTGATAAGATTTGTGTATATGCTTTGTTTAATTATGATATTTGATTATATGATATGTTATACAATATATGTTCAGTATAGTATGATATATGATGTTTTGTATATTATGTATCTGACTATCATGCAGGAAGTGAGCCTAGGGTATGAAGAGTTCTCTATAAACCTGGAGCTTACTAGAGATTCGTCTCTAACCCCGTTTTGAGATATGATTTCAGGAACACAGTTAATTGAAGAGCCCTCATGGGACAAGGACACTAACCGTGGCTAGAGGTACTAGTATGAGGATATAGAGTTCTGGGTAGCCGGAGGCTACTATTTATTATAGATGTTATTTTTGGAGAACATGTACTGTTGTATAGTGTTCTATTCATTTGGTGATCATGATGTCTGATCCTTTATTTTGTATATGGCTTGTATATGTTTTGTACATGTCTTTCAGTTGGATGCATGTACATTTGAGTATTCAGGCATGTTGATATGATGATGTAGTACTCAGTTTATGTTTATGTGTTGGATTGCATGCTGTTAGACATAGTGGCACGGAGCTAAGTAATGCATGCGCCCATGAATGAGTATATGATCCTATATGGATATCTGGTATGTCTGAAAGTATATACTGTATAAATTGTCTATCAGGGTACCTTGAGAGTGAGATTTGCAAATCCCCAGTTGTCCGATTTACAGAGGTTACTCTGTCCAATTTTTGTCTCCGTCAAATAAGAATTAAATTAGAAGAAGTATGCAATGTGATTGATGCTTCCCGGCAAGTATATCGATCGCACAAGTAATATAATAGTAAGTAAAGTTCGTCTCCACAGGGATTGTGATCGTTTATCAATTAATATTCCTTTCAAGAATGGAAGAGTTTAAAAGGGTTTGTTTGTGACAAATAATGTCGATTTGAGTAAAATTAAAATTAAAGACTTGTTTTTGTATTTTCATATTGAAGAATAAAAATAAGAATAAGAATGAATTGATTTGTAAAAATGAGAAAAGCATTGTAGCTAGGATACACTCACCATATGATCCTCACTCCTTACTATGGATTGATTTACAATATTCATTTATAAAATTACTCGGATAAATTATTATCTAAAAAATATTAATAGTTAACCATCAATTCCTTGCAAGGTTAACCTTTTAAATCCAATTGGAACCCCAATTCCTTACAATATTCCTCATGGTATTAAGCAATGAACTCAATAATTTAGGCATCTGCAATTCAATACACATATATTCCTAGCATGCATACGAACCGTTATCCTACCCCCTTTCAGGATGAAAACCCCAATATTCCTATCTAGGGTTCTAACCCTCAAACTATCCTCAACTATCAGATTGATCAATCCAAATAAAGAGAATATAAATACGCACAGGATAGAGATAAAGAAAATTTATATAAACGAAAAATCATAAATCAATCCGTCTTAACAAGGGTTCACACAGGGTTTGTGACCCTAACTACAATAAAAAGTAAACTAGTCAACCATAATCATGGCTAAAAATCCAATATTCAATAAAAACATAAAATTAAAAGAGAAGATGAAGAAGAACTTGATCTGCAGAATCCTCTCGGAGCACTATCGTCGTCTCACTTCAATAGAATAGGTCTGGATACCTAATTCTGTCATGAGGATCCTATTTATAAGTCTCTTTCATTCTTCCAAAATTGCCTTTAAAATAACACAGAGTAATTTTCCCGCAACCCGGCGCCAGTTGGTGCCGGTTTAGAGCAAGTTTACGTCGCGCCTCTGTCCGATTAACAAAAGTTGGAACTGAATCCTCGTGGACTGGCACCAGTTGGCGCCATAGTGGCGCAACTTGGCGCCATCCTTCTTCAACTAAAATGGCGCTAGATTGCTTGAGAAGTGGCACCACTTTTGTTCATTTTGGGCGCTAGATGGCATGGTTTTGGTGCCAAGTGGCGCCATTCCACTGCCACTTAATTTCTTCATGAATTTGGCGCCAGTGGGTGCCACTCAAAAGCCTTCGCTGCAAAGTTCGCAATCCAGCGCGGGTCCGCGTCAGTGTGGCGCCGGTACGCGCCATATGTTTCTGTCTATTGTACTGTGATACATCTGTGTGAAGTCGCGTCAACAGGCTTTTCATAATTTTCACTTTTTTTTCTTTTTGTAAAAACACAACCAAAAGGTGAATATTATTTACATAGAAAGAATCAATATAAATAGCAAATATGTATTTAAATTGCTCTTTTATGACTCACTTCTTATCAATTTTAACACAGAAAAACCACACTTGCAAGAGGCACATCAAATCATTCCCAGATTTAGACGTTGTTGTCCCTAGTAATGTACAAGACTCAATTCGGGAAATATTCAATTATTCCAATATAACATCACATAGACAATCAATAGATCACTATGCTAAGCATGACTGAATCAATAGAAAGAACTCCTAACAATGCCTTCTATTCTCATGAAATTATCAGAATCTAGCTTGAACACCCCTCGCCAAGATAAACATATAACGCTCAGCACTCAAGTGTTTGGGGGAGTAACAATCACTCAATTCATCACAGCAATAACACTATCATAAGCTTGATCATATTCTCAAGTTCCTAAAGATGAGGAACATTAACACATGCACAATTGATCAAAAGGACTTCTCATGGATATAATTTGGCCGGACTTAAGGGTAGGAATTTATGGGAAGTAGCTAAAATTGTTAGTTGAGATTGGAATACTGATATATTATTGAAAACAATCAAATCTCAAACAAATTTCAGCTCCAATATTCTTTAAGATCAGGGGTTCATCCCTTTTATTTTCCACCTTCTTTTTTTTCTTTTTCTTTTTACATTGCTAGAGACCCTTTCAAAAATTTTCAAAGAAATATTTTATATTTCTTCTTTTCTTTTTGACATATTACTTAACTTCAATGAAACTTACCCCAATCGATTTTTCTCTTATTTTCAAGTATTTTAATCTCAACAAAGGTAAGACAATAGGAATATGGCTAAGCAATCAGCAGGAATTATGAACAAAAAGGCTCAGGCTCAAAGGGGTTAACAATGGAGAAATCAAACAGGTGGGCTATCTGGCCATGGCTAACAGAATAAAATTGCCTTAATCATTTCAATCAATGCATGCATCTCAGAGAAACAGAGCAAGTTCTAGAATGCTATCACAGTGAGGTCTCTCAAAATAAAATAAGTTTTTAAGCACAAAACCTCACCAACTATGATGTCAAGCTAGACTTCCAAAAGAAACATCAGGCATCATTAATCATTCAAGCACAAAATTCAGACAAACGAGCAATCATGAAATCTACTCATATCTATGCAAAGTCATGCCAAAATGTCATATAACATACTTCCAAAAATTTAGTCAAGGACATTAACTAGATAAGCACATTAAACCTGAGAATTGCTTGAAAAACAGATCACTATATTTTTTTATTTTTTAAAATACAGAGCACACAAAAATAACTAAGAAAATTAAAAGAGTTAGAATATCTCCCCTGATAGAAGAATTGCAGTTATAAGATGCAAGCATACCATTTCCAGATTTAGAGAATTGCTGTCCTCAGCAATAATTAAACCATAAGAGGAAGAAAAACCTGCACAATGAAACAAACAGTGGCATATAGGATGAACTATAATGCGCACATTAAAACATCAGAGAGAAATATACCAACAAAAGTCGGAACTGAATCCTCGTGGACTGGCGCCAGTTGGCGCCATAGTGGTGCAACTTGGCGCCATCCTTCTTCAACTAAACTGGCGCTAGATTGCTTGAGAAGTGGCGCCACTTTTGTTCATTTTGGGCGCTAAATGGCATGGTTTTGGCGCCAAGTGGCACCATGCCACTGCCACTTAATTTCTTCATGAATTTGGCGCCAGTGGGCGCCATATTGGCGCCACTCAAAAGCCTTCGCTGCAAAGTTCGCAATCCGGCGCGGGTCCGTGTCAGTGTGGCGCCGGTACGCGCCATGTTTCTGTCCATTGTATTGTGATACATCTGTGTGGAGTCACGTCAACAGGCTTTTCATAATTTTCACTTTTTTTCCCTATAAAAACACAACCAAAAGGTGAGTATTATTTACATAGAAAGAATCAATATAAATAGCAAATATGTATTTAAATTTCTCTTTTATGACTCACTTCTTATCAATTTTAACACAGAAAAATCACACTTGCCAGAGGCACATCAATGATATGTCATGTGAAAAAGGATTAAAGAAAAAGAAAAAGTTAGCTCGTATTTTCGTAAGTTAAGTCTTCCGCTGTTTCTGTTTGTATCATATGTATGTTAATTGAACCGACTCGAGACGAGGATGTTACAAAATCTAACTTGAATCCCTCTCTCTAGGATAAATAATACACTCATCACTCAAATGTTTAGGGTAAAATCACTCAATCCATCAATATAATAACACTACCATAAGCTTGATCCTATTCTCAAGTTCCTAAAAATGAGGAACACAGACAACATGCTCAAATAGATCAAAAGGTCTTTTCAAGGTTGTAATGTGACCTAGTATGTATGTGGGAAGTAGCTAAATTTCAGATATGAGATTGAAGCACATTAATCCAATGCAAAATCATTCAATTCACATGCTTATTTTCACTAATTTTTTTCTAATGCATAACTTTCCTTTTTCCGACACCTTTTTATTTTCTTACTTGCTGCCTTTTTCATCACTTAAAAAAAAGTATTTTTTTTCTTTTTCTATTTTTTTAAAACAAACATAGTTTGTTAGAATAATTGAGCATCTTATCTTGGTTTTTCCCTTTCACTCCTATCATCTTCTCGCATATTCATGGACAACTTTACATTGAATTCCAATCTCATATAAAGGTATGAAGATAATCAAACAAAATAAGTCTCAGGCTCAAATGGGCTAGCAATGGAAAATAATTCCAGGTAGTTTATTTTAGCCAAGTGGTTATACAGAATAAAGTGTCTTTATTATCTCAATCTATGCATGCATCAAGAGAGAAACAAAGCAAGTTCTAGAGTACTAGTACAGTGAGATCTCTCCAGAAGAAATTTAAACTATTTAAGCTCAAACCTCACGTGTTATGGAATCAAGTTAGAATACTATTCCTTATTTTCTAAATCATGGTATTATCCAAAAATTCTCAAAAAGAAACTTATTCAAACGAGCAGTCATACTTTCTTATATGAGATTCAATGCAACGTCATGACAAAAAATCATTGTGGGCTCTCACAGTATCACTCGTGTTTCCTAAAGTTATTCATGTTTATTAACTTATGAAGCTCATGCAATTCAGAAATAGCATTCAGAGACCAGTAGAATAATAAAAGAAAACTAGAAAAAAATAAAATAAAATAAATAATAAGATTAAGATATCTCCCCTGAATTTGAAAATTCCTATTGAGTGTCTCTTTCTTGGTGTCTACTTCTCAGTCAAACCATGTTATGTGTCCACAATTCCCAGATTTAGAACATTGTTGTCCCCAACAATAAACTCTAAACTAGAAATGAAGTGACTCAGTTCTGCGTACTTAGGATATATAGAGATTAAAACAAAATAATATGATAATACTAACTACAAATATAAGAGTGAGTATGTATCTCAATACAATACCAAAAGAAAATTAAAATAAAATAAAAGAAAATAAAACGAGAAAGAAGAAGTCATGAAGAAGAAGAAGAAGAAGAATCAATGTTGCTCAATCTCCTTCAAGTTTATCTCTCTGAAAATCTCCATCTCTCGCTCTTGCCTCCTTCTCTCTCTGTTGCAGAATATGCCAGCCTCCTTTCTGTTTCAAGGAGTTTCCTTTTTATAGTGATGAAATCATATCTTTTAGTTTCTCATAATATCTTCAACAGAATCTTCACTAGAATCTCCAATCATATCTTTAATCAAATCCTTAAAATCTTTCGTTTTATATTTAAAGGAAAACTTTACTTAAAAATATTCAAGGAAATATTCAATAAGATCTTCAATAAATTATGTTATTCAGAAATCCAAAGCAAATCAACTCGAGCTCTTCAATTTATCTCTTTATTGAGCTGAAAATTAATGCAAAATATAAGAATTTTTATGAGAATATTAATGAGAATAAAATAACAATTTAATAACAATTTTCATATCTTTTAATTATTTTTAAATCAATTTCATACTCATATTAACCCTTAATACATAATAAATTGGAGACTCATCAGGACTGTAGCCTCAATCAAGTGGTTGACTAGGATGGTAAGTGGAATTATAACATATTGCTACAACTTTTCGATTCAGAGGTGGTTGAAGAGATCAGAAGTATACTCCTTCCTGATATGCATGATGGTACATATAGAAGCTTCTGGTTAGTGGGCAGTACGATAGTAGTACATGTCAGTAATTGTTATCTATATCTAGCAAAACAATCCTTTCAGCATAATAATTTGTCTAAGGAGGTTTAGAACAAGTTGTGGAAATAGAAAAGGCCTCAACGAATTCAAATATTTTTCTGGAGATTATTACTCAAAAAGTTTGCCTACAAAAGTTTCCTACAAACTCTTTGCTCGATTTGTCAGCAGGAGAGGGCTCTTTGCTGCATATTTTTTGAGATTGCTCGGTGATCCATGATATGTGGTACAATCTCTTGCCATATGATAGACTAGCTTAGTTCTTTGATGCCAATTGAGATGATTGGGTGATTGATAATTGGAGTTGCGATGTCATGGGTGTGGGAGGGTTTGTTTGGAGAACATTATATATTATTTGTTGCCTGTATATTTGGCACTGGAGAAACGAAGTGACCCACAATAGCTCTCCCAATGGGGATCGTCACCTTGCTCAGCCAATCCTTGAATGCTTGAAGGAGATACAACTTGGCTTTATATACACAAAGCCAAGGTTGTGACTCCATTCTTCCAGGGATGTTAGCTGGCAGCCTTTTTTGACTCCGTATGTTAAATTAAATATAGATGGGGCCTCAAAGGGTCGAACGATTGAAGTAGCTTGTGGAGGGCTTCTTTGTGACCATAAAAAAGTTTGGCTAGGGGTGTTTGTTGCAAGAGTTTGAGACTATTCTACTTTGCAAGCGAAACTGTAGGGTATGTTAAAAGGGCTAGAGAGGTAGGTTGGAGAAATATTTCAGTTGAAAGTAACTGTGAAACAGTCATTGCATTATTTTCTAAGGAAGACAATGAAGCTTGTGAGGTCCTATCTAGTGGATCAAATACGAGCATTTCTTAGTCGTCAATGGTATGTTCGGTTTATGCATGTTCTTCAGGAAGGCAACTAGTGTGCAGATTGATTGGCAAACTATATGTTGCTGAATCTAGTGTTACCTTATGAGACTCACTTCTCTAACCCCGCAGGACTATGGTGTCATATCAAGGCTGACAGTAGGGGTGTGATTTTTACTAGAGGTGCATAGACTCGCTAAGAGCTTCCTTGTCTAATATTTTCCATGTTTTATGTTTCTTTGCTTTCTGTAGTTACTCCAATGTATCAAAAAGAAAAAAAAGTTTAATATTTCTACTTTTGTTATAGAAAAAAATCTTTACTATATTAAAATAAAAGTGAGCGAGTTAGACTAATCTTTTCTCCTTCTTCTCCTTTCAATGGGATCCATTCACTTTTATGTGAGTGTGACAGAGAAATTTTTTTGTACTAAATGCAAAAATATTTTCCCCATTTTTCTTTGAAAACACTATAAAAGAAACATAAAAATTTCCTCTATTAGATTATATACAATCCAGCCCCCTGTACTCTATTTTTTTTTAATTCCTTAGTAATCTTTTATAGTTGACTATTACCCTAAATCATGTACTTGATTTGATTTATACCTTATTGTATTTTTTTTTTTGGGTCCTTTTATTATCAACAATTTTCTAAATTTCTTTCTATTTTATATATTTTTGTTCCCTAAAGTAGATTCTCTTAAGCCGCATATACTTGTAGTGAGCTAAACTAAAAAAAGACTATTTCAAAAAAAATATAAGCCAAAGCTAAAGTAGCAAAAGAAAATATAAAACTTTTTAAGACCATTATTTCCCCAACTAATTAGCACCCAAAAATAATTTTGTCTTTGGGATCAGTAATAAATTAGTGCATTTTTAAAGTCCCAAAATGATCCAAATCCTCATCATCAATATAGCTGACTGCAGAGCCAAACAACATGCGTTTTTCCCTCTGCTTAAGCTAGCTATGGCTACTACCATATCACCACCACCATCCAATTATGCTTCCAAATCTAATACCACCATCAACGATCTCTTCGACGATTCACTCATCGAAATCTTTTGCAGACTCCCTTGCAAATCCCTTTACATATGCAAGAGCGTTTCAAAGCGTTGGTTTGCACATGTCTCCGATCCCAACTTCCTTTCCCTATTCCTCACTTACCAAAATAGCCTCTTCCAAAACTTGCAGGACCAAGGAGAAGAGCTCGATCAACAAAGCTTCATCCTACAACCATACAATGCACTCGTGATAACACCAAATGTACCATCTTTACAACTTGGGCATCTCGAAAAACAACTATGTTTGAGTTTCCCAGGCTCAGATTTCGAACCCACTAACGTTAATCCACAACTAAGGTCTGTCTTGAAGTTCGTTTTCGGTTGTTCTAACGGTTTACTCTTGTGTGGAAACCCACGTCCACGTCGAAAATGCATTTACCATGTTTGCAACCCCCTCACTAGGGACACGTTGGAGCTTCCTTGTGTTCATTCTGAGGCTCTTGTGGGTTTCATATGTGACCCTTATTACCATCTTGAACTAGAGGGAGTCTCTATTGTTGCTTCTCAACGCAGGTTCAGGGTGGTGTGCATCCCCGTTTTCAGTGACACGAGATTTTCCTTCAATGTTGATGTTTTCTCTTCAGAGAAAGGGGAATGGAACCGGTTTGTTGTGTCGTGTCCAAAGGGTTTCGCTTGTGGGTTTTCTCCCACGGCATCGAGCGTTGAACATGATGGGAAATTGTACTTCACGGGTGTTGGAAGGGTCCTTGTGTATGAACCTTACAACAATAATGAACACGTTGCTTCTGTGATTGATCATCCTAGTGACTTTGGTGAAGCATACAGAGGGTGCCTTGGAGTTTCCTGTGGGAGTTTGCTGTTATCTGAGTTCCCTACAAACATGCGTAGATATAGTGGGAGAGTTTGGGAATTGCAGTACAGTGATTGTGGGAAAGGAGAAGCTTCAACAACATGGAGGTTGGTGCATGAGTTTTATCTACCTGATATAGTTGGGCCAATGTTTGAAGAGTTGAAAGGTGGAGAGAGAGAATATGTAGGTGGATACAGTAGAATTCTGGCTTTCCATCCATATGTTAAGGGTACTGTGTTTTTCAAGTTCAGTGATCATATCCTTTGTTGCAATCTGTTAACTCATGGGTTCAATGCAGCCAAATATGGTGGTCTCTCCTTGGCTTTTTATCCGGTAATCCCATTTGTGCTACCTTGGTGGCCAACTCCAATTCCTTCCCTACCTATTGTGGATACTAGTGTTGGCAAAATTGCCGGTCCGGCCCCCCGCCCCCTGCCCTCCACCCCCACCACCCCTTGGCAAACAAATAAGAAAGCAAGTGACATGTAAAAGAAAGACTAATAATAAGTATTGTTTCACTGTAAAAAGAAAGACTTATTGTTTTAACTAGAGGTATTGGAGAAAATAATTTTGAAAAAAGTGCATTGACAACGCTTGAATCAGACTAGTTGGATATTTGAGAAATTGATTGGTTGGGAAAAAAAGAAAAGAAGATAACTCCCTCACCCAGCTAGCATAATTTGCTTCAGTGTTCACATTTTGGGTGGTGATCAGGCCAGATATGGAGTGGGCTGGCCAAACTGTATCAAGCTTGGTTGAGATATGGGTTTTAGTGCTTGGTCTTGGGCCTTCAGTCAGGATGGGATCAAACTGCGTATCTGCCTTTTGCTGTAGCGCGTTAAGTCTGACTGGGGGTACCTGCGAAGACACTCCGATGCATAAGTCAGTATCAGAGGCAGGTGATGTATATTGATAAATGTAAAGGATGATCGTACCTGGGTGTTGAACCCTTTGTTTATATAGTAGTTATGATGCAGCCTTAGCAAGGCGGCTTGGCTTCTGATTGGCCAAGTTTGGGTTGCAGGTCAGTACTAGGATCTGAGTTGCCTTATCTTTGTTAGTGTCCAGTTGTAGAGTCGCGGTAAGCTGGAGCTGTCCGTTGCTTATTGGCATAAAGGCGCGGTGGGATTGCCTTGGACGTTATGTTTGCTTACTTGAGAGGGTTTCATCCGCGATATGGTTATCGCGGCTTGTCTGTCGCGATGAGGGCATTGCGGCTTACGCGCGATAGTTGTCTGTCGTGCTTGCTCTGGATCCTTGGTGGGTTGGGCTTTTTCGTATGTCATTGGGCCTCCATTGGGCCTATATTTTATCCGGATCAGGTGGACTCCTATTTTTTAGTGACAACAAATTTTCTCTAAATTAACCAATTAACTCTGTTCAACAGGGTTTCTGCCATTGTGCGCAATGGATATAGCCATCTGCACAAAATGCATAAATGTGCAGGATGGTGTATGATGTTTCAAGCATTTATCTAAGGGTTTTATAATTCTCATGTTGAAGGAGAATTCAAATCTTATGTTGTAGAGATAAAAAGCATGTGGGACCCATGTGTTAGAAAAAATTATATGTAGGACCCATGTCAGCACGGAAATCGAAGGGTGTGTAAGAAAATTTGAATTATCATGTTGAATGAGAATTATAAAACCCTTTATCTAAATGAGAAAATTATTTGAGACTAGTACTGTATCCTCCCCGCAAGAATGAGATAGGTTAATAAAGTAAAAATAATTAATTACTTAAAATTTCAAAAGGTGGCAAAAAGAGAAATTAAAGAGATATGGTTGCAAAGACACTATGATTGGTCTCAGGGCGAACCTAGAGGGTGGCTAGAGTGGGCCCCCGTCCCCCCTAAAATTTGATAGAAAAAATTATATACATATATATAGGTATTTTAATAATATTACAAAATGTGTGAGTGAGTAAATTACTGACATTAGTGAGCGTGAAGAGGAAGCACAAGATCTCAACGGCTCAAATCAAACTTCTCAAAATTGTTCAGCTTGCAATTGCAAGAGAAGACAACTGAAGTGGAAGCACAAGCATTTTCATTGAAGGGGGGCGTGGGACTCAATCTTGAAACACTCTTCAAGTATCTGTTCACTCTTCAATAGTAATCTTCTCCAACTATTTTACATAGAAAAACAAATGATAGAAAAAAAAATGTCTAGCCATATTTTTACTTCATCTCCTATCAAACATCAACAAATAATTTCCCAACCCCATTTTCTTAGGAAATTATTTTTTTACCTCCTACCAAACACGTGATTAGATTAAAAAATTGTAGTGTGTTCTTCTAAATTATTATTAATCTCTTTAAATTTCCAACAATTCTAGCTATAAAAAGAATGAAAGGACACATATAACTTTGTGGGTATCTAATTTATTGATAATGGATAACATGATTTATTTATGGGTTCTTCTCTTCTGCAGCAATAACATATGAATTTTTTTGTAGCAAACATATTTACACATGAGGATTCTGACATTTAAAAAGAAAGAAAAAAGTTAGGATCCACATGCGTAAAATAAAATCAAGAACAAGTTTCGAAATAAAATAGAAGACTAATTTCTTGATGATTCTTTGATTGCATACATTAAAAAAGAAATTATTTTGAGTTTTAACACGGATTCAATTATATATGAGTTTAACAATAAGAAAATACGTAAAATAAGAATCAAATGAAGTGATCTTAATCTTTGTAATAGATTTCTTTTAATTTTTTTTTATAGTAGGTCTGTATTACATTTCACATATTTTTGTTTATAATATAATATTTTTTATTTTCGCCCCCGTCATTAAAATTCCTGCGTCCGCCACTGATTGGTCTAATGGTGAAGAATTTGTATAAGTTATTACCATTTATATTAAAAAAAAAAGATATGGTTGCATTAGCCAAGACAAAACCTCCCGTTTCTCTTTATGTTTCGCGCAAACAACTAGAACGTCAGATCATCCTTGATGAAAGAGCTTAAAACAAGTGTAATCTCAAACCATAGCGATCAAATACCCGGATCAAATATACGGTTGATTGTTGACTAATGAAAATAATGTACAACATAAAACTTTTACGGCAGTGAACAAAAAACGGTCAAGGAATTTTTACAGCGAAAACATAACTTACTATGGCTCTACCAATAGTGGGAGAAATAGATGGTCAGCAATACACAACAGATCATTATGTATTTAATTGGAATTTCTACTGATAAAATTTATATACCTTGAACGAACATTAAGTTTCGAAATTTTATCAAATTGCAAGCCACGATTAATGTCATGTTAAATTAAGAGAAAGATTCAGGGTACACTGTTAGCGCTTGGCAATATGTTCAGGTATATTATTTCTGCATGAATGACCACATGACACTGTACATTCTCTTTTATACACTTTCTAACTACTCGATACTGTCCCTTGAAGACTAATTATTCACTTAACAAACTAACCATTGTTGAAACACACACATTATCATAGAATCAGATTATAGATTCCTTTTTAATTTCCTTTGATACTCGGGAGAACTCAAAACATGAATTATTTTGTAATTTTATCAAGGAATTTATAAGAATAATGTTGTAGGAAAATAGTTTTATCTTGTCATGGAAACACCAAATGTAACGCCTGGCCGCTTCAAGAATCAATGACTATCCCTATATACTAACACGAGACTTTTTAGAGTATTTTTTCCTCACTCGCACACTTCACCGAAAAACTTTCCAGGAAGTCATCCATCCCAGAATTGTCCCAAGTCAAGCACGCTTAACTATGGAGTTCTTCCGTTCCGAGCTACCGAAAAGTAAATGCATCTTGTTAGTATAGGTAGTACCAATTAATTCTTATAAGCTATCCCCAAACTGTGCAGTCTCATACTTGCACAGTCTTTGGAATCCCTCTGTTTCGGGTGTCGATTCAATTCATTCGTTCATGTAACCCTCGTTGGAAGCCTGTCAGGAGCCGCTCCTTGTCCATGCCCTTTCGCACCGGCGATGGTTCGTCTTCGAACCACACCGTACTGGAAGAGAGGCCCTGCTCTGATACCACTTGTAACGCCTGTCCGCTTCAAGAATCAATGATTATCCCTATATACTAACACGAGATTTTTAGTGTGCTTTTTTCTCACTTGCACACTTCCCTGGAAAACTTCCCAGGAGGTCACCCATCCCAGAATTGCCCCAAGTCAAGCACACTTAACTATGGAGTTCTTTCGTTCTGGGCTATCGAAAAGAAAATTCATCTTATTAGTATAGGTAGTACCAATTAATTCTTATAAGCTATCCCTAAACTGTGCAGTCTTATACCTGCACAGTCTTTAGAATCTCTCTTTCGGGTATCAATTCGATTCATTCGTTCATGTAACCCCTCGCTGGAAGCCTGTCAGGAGCCGCTCCTTGTCCATGCCTTTTTGCACCGGCGATCACTCCCCGCCCTCGTCAGCGCTTGGGATGTTACACCAAATGTGGGACCCACTTGTTTTTCTAAAAAAAAAACAAATCACACATTTTGATGGGTCTTCATGACTAAAGCATAACCCTTTTTTTTTGGTGTGGAAAGCATAACCCTTTTATCAATCCCCAAATCCTCACAAAAAGGTGATAAAATAAAAGATCAATGGAAATAGTAATCAAGAACATATTTCACATTTATGAAGAAAAATTATTTAAATTTCAATTCTATATATATTGCATATTAATTGCAATTTTATGAAGAAATAGTAATCAATTGGATTGCAATTATTTAACCGAATAAACCGAAAATTGAAAACCAAAAATAAAAAAAAATGCAAATTTTAATTGGATTGGATCGATTTTTGGATGAGTTAATGAAAACCGATCCCATATATTAAATCCCCTCTACCTATTTGGGTCTTTCCCTAATCATAGCCTAAAAATTTCTAAACCCAAGACCCATTAACCCATCAAATAAACCCAAGAAAAAATCTAGTAACATCTCATCAACAAAATTTTATTTTTGTAGAGCTAAATATCTCATTGCCAAAAAAAAACTATATTATAGTTTACTAATGCTTTTGTATTTCAAAAAAAATAAAATTTACAAAGCCAATATATACAAAAGATGTTATTTGCACAATAATCATGAAATAAATTTTAGGATTTTCAAAAAACCGAAAATCGATCCAATGCAAACCAAAAAAATTGGATTGGATCAGATCGGATTTGGAAAAAAATCCAAACCAAATGGATGATTATATGATCAAACTGAAGGAATTGGATCAGATGATTTTTGCTTCCAGAACCGATCCAATCCAGACCACGCACACCCCTATTGTTGAGTAACCATGGAGTTTATGGTAGGGAAAGATCTATTATCATATATGCTATCTCAAGTCAGGACAAAGGAAAAAAGTATCTTTATGATATGGATCCTTATAATTTTCATTATAGCATATCATTCTTAGTAAAGCGTTGCATAGAAATTTGGGTGTAATGAAAAATGAACTAGGATCTTTGCCTTAAAGCGCCACATCTATGGATAAGAGACCTTATAACCAATGGAAGTTGCTAACAAGAATATTGACCTATTAAGAAACCTTATGACATCAATTAAGTAAGATAAGACAAGACGATCCACAAACTTTATGTCTATTTGGTTTAAAAAAATATTTTCTGTTTTTTATTTAGTATTTTTAATAATAATTACAAAATACTACCTGATCAGACCAAATACAGTATGGGCTGGCCAATGTGTACTGGGTCAAATCACACACGGTTGATGGAGAAGGCCTTTGAGATGATCTGCTCTCTGGGCTTGAGGTTGTAGCTGACGATGTAAAGACTTTGGTTCTCCTTTGGCGCGATGATTCTGACTGGAGGGGGTACCTGCGATGACACTCCGACGCTCAAGTCAGTATCAATAGCAGGTGTATGTATATTCTTACTGAATTAGATTATTATACATGGGCATGTACCCTCTGTTTATATAGTGGTTGTGATGCCGCCTTGTTAAGGCAGTATGGCCTTTGATTGGCCATTTTGGGGCTGCAAGTTCTGCCTGTACCGTAATAGCCTTATCTCTTAATGCCAGGCTACTTTGATAGAGTAGTGGCAATCTGGTGATGTCCTTTGTCTATTTGCTTAAGGGCGCGGTGGACCTTTGTCAGTTCTTGTGTTGGCTTCTTTATCTCTGAAGTTATGTTAAAGGGCGATTCTGTGCGCGATGGTGTCATCGCGCCATGCTTATGCGCGATGTGAGTCATCGCGACTTATACTGGGCTTTAAGGGTTTTGGGTCTTGTCCTTATGTATGTGTGCCTTAAATGGGCCTATAATATTTTATCCAGATCAGTTGCCCCCTAGCTCGCGGTTTTGGTATGAGGCAAAGCCGTGAGATATATATTATGCACTTGTGCACGATATACCCTTTTAGCGCAATTATTTTGATGTCGCAACAACCATGCCGAAGAGTCATCATGACTTAGCCGCTTAAAAATGGTTGATTAGATGTTAACTGTCAGAAGCATTTAATGCCACTGTAATTACATGGGTGTTTAATGGCAATCATGGGCTGTTTTAAAGTTAAAATGTTTTACCTTCTTCCCACGTGTCCTATAATGACCCTAATTGGTAAATCTTAATTAGAGGTTTAATTTAAGGATTTAAATTCCATAATTAGATTCAGAGTGTGATTTCGAATATTTTGACTGTAATCATGACTAGGTTATGAACAGTGCATGCTGTCGGATGATCTGCATTCTTGTGAATTAACCGGTAGAGCTAAAATGAATAAAATGAGGTTAGAGACATAATTTGATAATTCTGACGCCAAATATGAATTTAGAACGAAAAATTGTATAGTCTGGCACTTTCCGCAAAAATCTCGTGAATAGTATTTTCTACCGGGTATTTTGTACTGCTGTTTAAGCGACCGGTAGAGTCCAGAAATAAATAATTTATGAAATAAGATTAAGAAAGTTCAATGTATGCCATACAAGTCAAAATAGGCCCAATAATAACAAGTTTATAAGTTGTAAGTTTCGTAAGCAAACGACATACAGTTAGTGATTCACAGTGCATTTTGTCAAAAACGGTGCAGAAACCATACTGTGAATTATGAATATTGTTCCTGGGGAAATAAAAATTAATGAAAATGAGTCCAGAAAAATAAAAATATGTCCGTAGCTTTAAGTTTGTTCCGGGTTAGTTTAAGTGAAAATACACGGTAGAAAAACATCCGGTAAAAAGGGCACCTATACATATAAGTCCAAGTCACTTAAAATTCACTATTCACATCAGCTTCTCTCTCTTCTCTCCCTTCAAAACCCGAGCTGCTCTCCTGGAAAGGGGGTTTAGGGTTTGATTTTTGTTTCCTTTGATTCTCCCTCAATCTTCAACCAAATCACAAAGTCCACTACATGAAATTGATTGTAAACCACCCAATGAATCCATTCCAACAATCAATTTGAGCTAAAATTGCTTGTGGAGAAAGTTCTTCTGCTCCCCATTTTTGTGTTACTATTCATCAAAGAGGAGAAAGTAGAGTTTTGATGGAGCTTTACTTGGAGGTTGCTCTTTAGGCCTTGTACCAGTGATTAGAGGTAATAAACCTCTATTTCCATGGTTTTATTTTGATGATTTAAGTCATGAAATTTATGAACATGTTTTGGGTGGGAAAGAAATTAGTTTAACAGTTGAATTGATGATGTATTATGGATGTGTTGGATATAGGAATGTTAAATAAGCATTTGTGCATGTGTAAAATTGAAAAAAAAATCCATGGTGGTGCTCCTTATGATTTCGGCCTTGTAGGGTTAAAGAGGGTTTATGATGCAACAATTTATCTTATGTATTAGGAAGGTTTAATGTGTTGGAGTGAATGGAAATTTGATGAATTAGTGAGAATGCCAAAGTGGGAAAAAAATCCTATGTGTCATGCCCCTAGGTTTCGGCCATGGTGTGCTTGTGAGGGGTTTGATATTCCAAAAATTAAATTGGAACCTTGTGGATACATAGATGTATGTTTAAGTTGCTAATTAAGTGAAGAAAATGAAATGTAAAAGAGAAGAACCTTTTGCCTTCTCCCTTGTAGATTTTGACCTATAGGGTGGTTTAGGGGTAGATTTTGTTACATTTTATTATAATAAAATGTGTTGTATTTCAATGTACGAAATTGATGAATTAAGAAGTGAAATGACTTGGAAAAATTGTTGGAAAATATCTTGTTTCCCTAAGGGTATGTCCACGGCCTTATGAAGAAAAATGGCATGAATTATGATGAAAATTCTCATGTGGATACTTAGTTAATTTAGGGAACGCTAACGATTATGAAATGGAAAATTAAAAGAAATGATAAAGGTGTGGTCTTGACTTGTGAATTGGCATAGGTTTGGCAAAAACGTAAAGAAATGAAAATAAGTGATAAAATGTATGCCTTATGTAAGGATCATGACATATGATCATATTATTGATTTTGTTGTGGATTCTTCTCTAGGTGTGCCTAGGGACTGAAAATGATTGGAATCTTATTGAAGCTTTATAAGTAACTTGTACCACAAGTAAGCGGATTGGTAAAGCTTCAAGAGGTAAGCTCTATGTTTAAGGAGTCTTTTCCTGCTTGAGTGCTCCACCATGGTTAGTGAACTATGGTTGGATTGTATGATTGTTTTTGATACTTTGTATAGATGCATTCATATAGAGTTATTTGATAACATGATATGACTTGTTCTGATATGATTTCTGTATTGATTGTATGGTACACTGATGTCTTCTTGGGGTTTCCCTGAGATTGACGATGTACGCCTCTGACATGTTCTGGTTCCGCTTGGGGTCCTCCCTTAGGAACACGTGTGCTAATTTCCGCTTGGGGTCCTCCCTTGGGAATGATGGCACACACCTCTGATATGATATGGATATATGCTTTGTTCTGTTATGATATCTGTTATATGTGCATTGGTATACTCTGTATCTGACTTTCATGCAGGAGTGAGCCAGGGGTATGGAGAATTCTCTATAAACCTGGAGCTTATTGAGATTTGTTATCTCACCCCTCTTTGTGGACATCATTTCAGGTTCTAAGATCCACGGTAAGCCCTCACTAGGCAGGGACGCGACCCGCGGTTGAGGCATTTCGACAAATTGGATTTTGAGTAGTTGTAGGCTACTTCTATTTTGGAGTACAGTGCTGTCATTTAGTATTTCAGTATTTTGTGGATCATGATGTTGGATCCTTCATTTTGTATATGGCCTGTATATGTTTAGTACATGTCTGTCAGTTCGATGCATGTACATTTGAGTATTCAGGCATGTTGATATGACTACGTAGTATTCAGTTATGTTTATGTATTGGATTGCATGCTGTTAGATTAGTGGCACAGAGCCAAACTATGCATGTGCCCATGGATGAGTTATGATTATATTTGGATGTTTGGTACTTCTGAATGTATATGCTGTATAAACTGTCTATTAGGAACTCTTGTGAGTGGGATTAGAAAATCCCCAGTTGTTCGAATTACAGAGGTTACTCTGTCCGATTTTCGTCTCCGCCGAGTAAGAATTAAAATAGAAAAAGAAAAAGTTAACTTGTATTTTCGTAAGTTAAGTGTTCCGCTATTTCTGTTTGTATCATATGCATGTTAATTGAACCGGCTCGAGACGGGGATGTTACATGTCCCTTGTTATCCATTTTACACAACACGTTTTAACCTTTTAGGTATCCGTTTGGTAAAGTTTTCATATTTGTATTGAGCTGCCGAGGGTAGAGGGAAAGCACGCAGAACACTTATCGTAGACCTTACTTCCCCTGCTTGTGATTTCTGGTGGTGACACGTTCTGTCCTCCTTCCGTTTAACATGTGAGGGTCACTCTTTAAAAAATTAAATTCAGACTCAACTCTTGATGTATTATTAAGAGGGGTATATTTTCGCCAATAACATACTAAAAACATATCCCTTTTATATATGCCCCTTACGCCCTTTATAATTTTAATTCATACATGTTTCATCGTAATACCCTTCGTGTTATAAATACTATTTGAACAATTTAATTTTGTTTTGATTGTTTGTGACAATATTTACTTGTCTTAATAGAGTTTAAAAAAGTTAATTCAACTAATTTTGACATATTTAGTGACTTTTTATGACATTAAAATATATATTATATTATATTATTATAAAATGGAATTAATTAAATTTGAAAGTAATAATATAAATTGCCTCTCAAAATTGTTTTAGAATAATAAATATAAATTAGCTCAAGCATTGAACGACTTAACCGGTATACACATGAAAAAATGATTAGAAAGAGACCCTTTAATTGTACAAGCCCAACTGAGCTGGTACACCTGTGCCATTGATCCATGTCCCTTGCAAGAAAGACTCCACAGTGTAAGTGTTAGCCTCTTCTCTGTTAATATCTTTGCGACCAGGCCACTTGACCCTAGCATTAGTGTTAGCACCAACACCATTGTTGTTGTACTCACCATAGTACAATGTGGTGAGTGCAAAGTCACCTTCCCAAGGTAGCCACCCATCAGGTTGAATCAAGTCCCCAATTTCAGATTCCATGATGATGGTTCTTGAGTACTCCTTCCATGGCCTTCCAAGGTAGTTCTTGATCTTACCAAGCACAGGAACAAGTGCATCAGCAGCTTTAATAACACACTTTTGAAGAACAAAACCAGTGTTTTCTGCCTTGTCAATTCTGCCTTGAGCAGTGACAATGTTCTGCTGGTTGTCCAATGGTTTCCTTATAACCATTATGCAGTTCTGGAAGACAGCAGAAGCATCACCAAAGATGAAATCAATGGTGCCTTCAATGACACAGTCACGGTAGAATTGTCTATGGGTTTGAGCATATAGTGTGTCTTGGTAGCCTTCAAAAGCACATTGTACAAACACTGCTTGATCTGCTTGTACTCTGGCAGCCACGGCTTGATGCTTTTCTGCTCCAGCAGTGTTTCTGTATCCCATATCCTTGCCTATGAATCCATCTCCAAGTACAACTGCAATGTGCATGAAAAAATGAGTTAAGTTAAGCAATATGGCCATCTATTTGCTGCCACAAATAATATATATATATATATATATATATATATATATATATATATATATAGTATAACACTTACCAAAAGATGCAGTTTGGAATGTCCTCACTCCATCTACAAAGTTTTTGTTGCCAGTGACGATGCTCTTTTGTTGTCCATCACCATACATGGTTACATTTACCATTTTCCTTGTCACGGTCACTGTCTCATCGTATACTCCTTCTTTAACATAAACCACGTACCTGCATTTTCACATTGGAAAAGATATGCTTTGCATGAGCATGCATATTTTAAAAAAAAATAATCATTAAATGTGACTTCGATAGCAAAGGAAGTCTTGACACAATGGTTAGTATTCTCACCATGTAATCTCGAGGTCATAGATTTATTTATATAATCAGCCTCTTGTACATTTAAGATAAAACTACTTATATAGACTCTTCCCAAATCATAAACCACGCTTCATTAAACCCCGACAATACACAAACTCGTGTGACCTTTCAGTCACAAAGGAGCAACTTACTCTTTCCAAACCACAAAGGAGCAACTTACTCTCTCCAAACCATAGTGGGAGTTTTATATAATCCCACGAGGGTGTGCCTTATCCTAATCTAAACTTTTATTTTAAAAAATAATATGGGAGCTTTATAGCATGAGTATGATCTTTTAAAATGTGATAAAGCAAGGTGTCTAAGAGGAACATACCTTCCTTCATAAGTTTGTGGGATGGCTGCCAAAGCTTCAGAGATGGTTTTGAAGTTTCCACTGCCATCTTTGGCAACAGTGACATTAGGTGTGGGTTTACCTTCTGCTCCTAACAACTGAGCAGGGCTAGCCCAAGCAGGAGCTGGGCTATCCCCAGCAGGGGCCATAACAGGAGCAGCACCAGGAGCACCAACTGGGGCAGCACCAGGGGCACCAAAGGGAGCACCAACAGGAGCAGCACCAGGGGCACCAAATGGAGCACCAACAGGGGCAGCACCAGGGGCAACAACAGGAGCAGCACCAGCAACAGGGGCAGGGGTTTTAGTTTTCCCCCATGGAAATTTAAAGCTGCCAAGACCATTGAATGAAGAGAATAAGGAAGAAACCTGAGACACAACTGCAAGGGAATTGCTAACAAGTTGCCTGGATTCATTGAAGAGCTTTTTAAACTCATTCTTCATGTTTCCTTCAGGGAACCCATCAATGCATGTTTGTTGGTAAGATATAACTGCACTGAGCCAATTGTTAATTTCAGGAGCTTTAAGTTTAGACAGATCATTGGAACCAGCTTCAGTGATAGAGAATCCAAGTTCGTCCTTGGCATCCTTAAACAACTCCTTGCAATCTTCGTATGCTCCTTTCTCCTCCTCATTTGCAAACTTCAATTTTGCGGTTTTGTTGAAGGCCTTGTTGACCTCAGCCTCAGCAAGAATCATAGAAATCTTGAGAAGATCCTTTGGTTCTGTCAACTTGGGGTCCTTCTTCAATGCCTCGGTAAGGGAGCTTTCACATTTTTCCTTGTATTCTGCATTGCTGCATATCATTTTCACAAGCTTGGAATATCTATCAACATGATTGGTAGCTTCTGAGGGAGACAATTCCTTGGGTTGAGAGCCTGTTCTTTTGACAACAACAAATGCTGCAGCAGCAACCACACATGCAAGGAGAATGGTGGAAACTACACCAATGAGAATCTTTTTCCTAAGCTTGAGCTTCTCCTCGTTCTTTCGTCGCTCTGATATGATATCAAAATCCTGAAATGCCATTGCTAATTTTTGTCCAAGGCAGAGGACCCTCTCTGCCTTAGACTCTCAAGGGACAAGGGATCGTGAAAGAGACGAGGGCCAAAGTACCAAACGATGGTTTGATGTTAAAACCCTTTCTCCTTCATCTTCATTGTTCCATCATTTGGAAATTTAATATGGTTTGTCTCAAAGGGAGAGTAAACATGTGTGGACGAGAGACATTTCAGGTATTTCTATTTATGTAAGTTGGTTAAGGGCTTCCAATGATTAATGGGTCATCACAGGTTCTACTCTTTATATGTATCCGTACGTGTTTAGTGTTGGTGGTTTAGAATGTATTCTATCCAATCACTTCGGTTTTGATCGTATAATTATCCATTCAGTTTGAATTTTTTTTAAATCTGATCCAATCCAATTCATTTTTTTTTTCGGTTTGGATTAGATCTGTTTTCGATTTTTTGAAAATTTTAAAATTTGTTTCATAATTATTGTGTGCAATGAGTTATGAAGCTCTATACAGATGAAATTTTATTGATGAGATGTGACTAGGTTTTTTTTTATATTTGGATCGATTTTCATCAACCAATCCGAAAACTGATCCAATCCAATTAAAATTTATGATTTTTTTATTTTATTTTCAGGTTATCAATTTTTCGATTTGATCACCGCAATTTGAATCGATTTCATCCCAATTTCTTGCCGACTTTTATCCCTTCACTCCAACTTTCAAAATCCTTCTCTCCTTTTTCCAAGAGCGAGAATGGCAAAAAAAAAAAAAAAAGGTTTTATGTTTATCATTTAAGATAATATAACTTCACTTTCTTACACACACATCAAAGAGTGGGGTCCACATATTTTTCTTTCTCTTTCGTCATTCCACTTTCTCTCTCTTGATGTGAGAGTTGAAAACAACACTTACTTTATGTTACGTAACACTAATAAAACCCAAAAAAAATATCCGACAGCGAATGTTCCTTTTCTTGCAAACCTCGTAACACCACACCTATAAAATTAGGAAGAAGCTCTCTGATGACAAGTAATAGTTTTATATAGACCTTTTGTTATTTGTATGTGATTCACTCTCTCCCCTAATATAGCCGTCTATTCAGGCTTATAACTTATCCTAAATAACGGAAAAATGGCTATGATGCCAAAAAAAAAAAAAAATGTGTGTTATGGAGCAACACTACCATAGCTCTCTATCTCTCTCTCACAAACAAACCCATGCGTTTCCAAAGATTCGAAGAAGACCATATTATGAGTTTATGACTGGTGATGATTTCGCTGACGCTGAATTTCTTGTAGATACCAAGCCAAAAAATAGACAGATCGATGGGAGCCACAAACCGATTTTCTAACTTCGAATTGATTCAGATGGTGGCGTAGAAACCTCATTTGTTAGCTTATCAATATTCCAATTTATATATAACAAAGATATAGTCTGATTTATAAATTTGCCCTTATTTTAATTTTTTTTTTTACCAATTTGCCCATCTTTCAAGTTATATATCAATTTGTTTCCATTTGATCAAAATTTGACCAAACCTTAGTTCTTGATAAGTTATTTAATTGAGTACATGACTATTTTTTTATTTTTTTTTGGTAAACAAAGAGGGCTACTGCCCAAACAAACTAAATATTAGAAACAGATGAAATTAACTTCCTATCAGCCTCCACAAATTCCTGACATTTATTTGAATAAGTGTATGTTAAACTTTGCTCAAATATGAATAGATTGGTATATAATTTGAGCACAGGGATAAAATAGTAAATAAAAATTAAAATAGGGGCAAAATAGTTGATATATGTTTTGTTCATCATGTTTTATGAACTTACATAGGAAAATCATTGTCTTATGTTGGTGAAGAAAAAATATCTTATATTGTGAATAATAACTATGTATTACGGGTAGTTAGGAGTGTAAATGAGCTGAGCGGCTTTTCAGAAACTCAAGAGTTGGTTTGGTCTGACTTGTTTAATAAATAGAATGAGTTCAAATTTAAAAAAAAAAAGCTTGTTTAACGAATAAACCCAAGTATAATTTAATGAGGCTTAGCTTGAAAGCCCGTGAGCTGACATAATATATTATTACAATAAATAATATTTTTATGTCACTGAATTATTAACCCTATTTTTTTAAGATTGTCTACTGTCATTCTCTCACGGTCACAGTTTCACAAACAAGCTATTTGACTATTGGTCTTTCCTTTCCTTCCTCAATCACTCTCCTTTTCACGGCTTTACCCCAACCTTCTACTTAGCACAACTCTGGTAACCAATAACTATCTTTAATTCCACAAGCAACTAACCAAATCCATGTATTCTTTCTCAATTCCTCTTTCTTCAATATCAGATTATCAGTAGATGCCTATCAAACTAATTTTATTCATTTGAAATCTCTTTTAAATTTTAAATGCATTCCTTCTTTTTTACTTTTCTTGATTTATTATATATTATTTAGAAATCCTGATGTATTCTCGCAAAAAACCAAAAACAACTGCAAGAAAATCTGTTTTTTGCTTTTGCTTTTTGTCTTCCTAAATCACCCATCTTGTATTTAAAATATTATTTTTTTTATTCCGGCTAAATAGCATTAAAGATGTAATTGTATGTGGATTGAGTGAGTTATATGCTATGAAACACCGACACTTCAAAAATTTTGACGTGTCGTGTCCGACACTTTCCGACACTCTCGGACACTCCGACACTCCCAAACACTCCAACACGCGTTATAGAAATTCAAAAAAGGTTCAAATGTTGCGTTGCGTTGAGTTTTTAGTTCCAACTATTAGATTCGTTGTATTACGATTATCATTTTATTGAGTTTAATATAAATATTTGGGATATCTTATGTTTCTTTGCAAAGTTTATGAATATTATAAGACTAGAATCATTTTTTGATTAAATTATGGAATATTAAATATAATATTCACTACAAAAATTTAAAAATATTATTTTATATCAAAACGTATCCTAACGTGTCGAAATCTAACATTTTTTAAAATTAACGTGTCGGAGTGTCGAGTCGTATCGTGTCACGTGTCCCGTGTCGGTATCGGTGCTACATAGGTTCTATGATTGTTTTTTCTCTAACGAAAGAATATATAATTTGACGCATTTACAGTCTCAATTGATAAAAATACATTTTAAATTATAAATGAGCAAAGTCAAGTTTTTAATTTTTCATAAACAAGTCTAGAATTTAACTCGTATCAAGCTCAAAATATTTTTCATAGGTTTGGCACATTTAAGCTAAAGCTTGACCTGACCCAGATCATTTATGCCCCTACGAGTAGTATATAGTTATAATATTAAAGTTATTTTTTTTTCTCCCCCAAAAATTGTCGGTTGATATGGCAAAGAGAAAAAAAATAATTCATTATAATTATGTACTACTCGTAGTGCTTAATTATTTATTTTTTGAAAAGATAATTTCTCTACAAAAACTTAAGAAAAATGCAACCCGCTTACATATTAAGATGCTACAAGCATAAATGTTATTGTAATGATTTAATTTCAATCAGTGATGAGTTTTTAGAAGAGTTTTACCATAATAACAATTTGACGATCGATATATAGATCAACTTTATTTTAAATTAGGGAAAATTATTTCTCTAGTTACTGAAAATAAAATTATTTTCACTGAACTCAAAACGATGTTATTTTAGAGTTATAAGATTAAAAAATTATAATGATAAAAATTAATATAACCTTACAATATATTAAAATTATAAAAATACTTTAATTTTCATTTCAGAATGATATCGTTTTAGGCTCACCGGAAATAATTTATCTCTATTGATCATAGAAATCCTTTACCCATTAAATTATGTCTTGCTGAAAGAATATGAAAATGACTCTTGTGCAAACCAGGAATTCTAGTGAATTCTATTTTCTTTTTTTGACCGTAGATTTTTCCTTTATTACATGTCAAAAGAAATATAGATTATCTTATCAGATTCAAATTTCCTTTCCAATTTTTTAATCAGAGATTCAACCAATTAGGGGTGGCTCAATTATCTTCCAGGCCTAAAGCTAATTACAAAATTGAGGCATCTTATTGAAAGAAAACAAATTTTTTTTTTGAAGTTTGATCATTTTGACGAGTTTTTTCATTTTGTTATTTTCTTACTTTTAATTTTAGTTTTATGATAGTATTAGATTGTTTTAGAGAAATGTAATATCAAGTGGTGACTGAGTTCGATCTTCACCAACCCATACATTCTATTAATAAATAATTAAATATTGTGAAACTTCTTAATACAAGTAAAAAAACATGTGTTTTCTTCAAAGTAAAAAAACTTGTGTATTCTTCAACTCCAATGAATTCTTGCGTGAAGAAGTGATTTTGAGTTGATTGATACTTTTCGATTGAAATGAAGCTTTATATATTATAACCAAGGTTTCTAGTCAAGCTCACTCCTAGTGGCTTTGTAACCAAGTTTTAAATTGTGAAACACATCACTTGAAGAGAGTTAGAGTCCATCATGACGGAAAAACTTAACATGGTCCAAGATTTTGGTGATCATTTCATTGAAAGTATGATATTTAGATTAAATTTTTATTTTTATTTTTCTTTTTTCTTTTCTTCTATCTGCTCAGCCTCTCTTCTCTTTCCCTCTCTTCAGTCCCATCAATTCAACTCTTTCTCTTTCTTCAGTCCCACCAATTCAAAAGTGCGCCGGGAGCACTACATTCCTGCTCTATCATGACGCAATTGCATATTGCACAGGCTATAACTGGCGTGCATCAACCTTCAATATCGCAAAAGGAATGTGATTGCAACAGCAATTTAAAACCTTCATTGTAACCCAAAAAAAAAAGGAAAGAAAATGATAGAACCCTCTTATTGATTAAGGGGTAAAGTATGTGTCATTTTAAAGGATGTAAAGTTATGTCATTTTAAGAGAGAGAAATAGAAAAATAAAAGAGGAGAGAGTTGACAAAAAAAATTAAAGATGTGTGTCTGATACAATTCAGATCAAGCAATACAAAAGGGATAAAGAGAGGAAGGTGTGGAA